AAAAGGACAAAAGAACTAACAGCGATATTGTCTACAGAAGTGTGCGTTATACATGTATACATATGTACTCGTAGTTGAGCTAAATATGAAAAAAATGAATATTTAAAATATTCACAATATTCTTAATTATTTTGAAGAGAATCACACTGAGAATAAAACGGAAGAACTATACATTTTGTTTATTAAATATATTCATGTATACAACATTACTTTTATAAAACCATTAACGAAGTATAACGAATCCTGCATCCACTATTTGATATACATATATATCACTCACTGTTTACATACATTATATTTACAATACTACCATAATGTAATTATTTACTAAGAAATTTTACGTGTTAACGTTGTTATCCGCATGATATTATACCCAATATGGTATTATGGAATAATACCGTAATTGTTTTTGAATTATATTAGGATACTTGCTCTTAGAAAATATGTGAACATTGTATAACATACTTTAGTACTTAATACACATAATTACCATACGAAAATTCTTATTTTCAAGTATACTTAAATGATTATTGCTTGAAAAACTTAACTAAGAACTAAAATATTATACTTGTTATATGTATTATAATATGAAACGGATTATATTATATATTAAGCGGAATAACTTGTATAATTTGTAATATAAATATAATGCACCTAAATATCAGCCTTGATAGCAGAAAATTACATAAAATTTTTGGAAATTATTGTGATTTGAAATTAGTATACGGTTTCTCAAATTATTACAAATTTACTATTTACTATATCCTAATAAATTTTAAATCATAGCACATTTTGCTCTGATATAAATAGAAATTAATCTTATTCTACTAAATCTAAATGCTTATACGAGGGTCACTATTTATATTTCGGGTCTAGCAATAAAAAACAAACATTTATCATTGGAAATGGTTTTATTGTTTTTCAAAATATTCCCCATGAAGATCAATACACTTTTGCATGCGCTGAAACCAATTTTCGTAGCACTTTTTCCACTCCGATTGAGACACCTCCAAAACATGGTTTTTGAACGCATCGACTGCTTCTTCAGGTGTTGAAAATCGTTGTCCACGCATTTTTTTTTTGATGTGAGGGAATAAGAAGAAGACATTGGGTGCTAAATCAGGACTGTACGACGGATGACCCATCAATTCGACATTTTGAGTGCTCAAATAGTCCATTGTTTCAGCTGATTTGTGAGAGCTTGCATTGTCATGATGCAGAATGATTCGCCGGCGCTTGTTTGTTTTCCTTATTTCTTCGAAAACTTTCGGCAAACAGATGGTGGTGTACCATTCAGAATTGACCGTCCTACGTTCCACTAAAGGTACTGTGGCCACATGACCGGTTATACCAAAAAAAAAACGCGATCATTTGCTTCGATGTGCTTCTTCCACGAACAACTTTTGTTGGATTTGGCTCGTCTTGGAACACCCATACGGTCGATTGCTGTTTCGTTTCGGGCTCATATGCATAGATCCATGATTCATCACCTGTGACTATCTTATAAACGTCTTTTGACGCACCGCGATTGAATTTTTTCAACATTTCTTTGCTCCAATCGACACGAGCCTTCTTTTGTGCAATCGTCAAATTTTTTGGGATCCATCGACAACACACCTTTTTCACGGCAAGATGTTCATGCAATATCTTATGTACGCTGGTGGAACTAATGCCCAAGGATGCCTCAATCTCACAGTATGTCACATGCCGGTCCATCATTATCATTTCGCGCACAGCATCGATGGTTTCCGGCAAAACGACCGAAATTGGCCGACCTTCACGAAATTCATCCTGGAGCGAACGGCGTCCGAAACCAAACTCTTGGTACCAGCGATTTACAGTGGTTTTTGATGGTGCTTCATCACCAAAAGTCGAAACAAGACACTCTTGTCTCGATAATCCGCGCCGAAAATCGTAAAAAATCATCGCACGAAAATTTTCATGGGACAATTCCATTTTTTGACCGAGATGAATTTTTCAAGTCACTGTAAACAAAACAATTCGCGCTCGAATGACAAAACGTTCTGAGTGAAGTTGTCCTAAAAAATGTCAAACTTTCCAATGGAAGTGTCAGATTGCACCTGGCAGCACTAGTATTGCCAGGACCCGAAATATAAATAGTGACCCTCGTAACTACATTCAATCGTGTTGCAGTATATTTTAATATTATAAGTGCGGGATTTTTGGAAAACAAAATTTCGAGCTCATATCAAGTTTTCAAGTTTTTTTTTTAAGTATTTATATGCAAATGTTTATATACTTAACTTTTAGTAAATATGTTCCGAGGGTTTTTGAGTAAAAAACGCGTATAGCGTCACAGAGATTACAATTCGATAGTACTCGTAAAAGTTATTTCCTATTTCATGCTCTAAAGCGATTTACAAAGGTTTTATTAAAAAAAAAACCATAAAATTGTTGATTTTTTAAAAAATGTTCAGTTTGTTCAGACCCCCATATGAGCTTCAAGTATTTGCATATAAGCACAATGCTCCGCAGGACAAGCCCCTAAATATTATCAGACTTGAATTATTTGCCGTTATATACATATGTATGAAAAATATTTGCATTTAATTTATTCAAAACAAAATGTAAAAGATTAGCTACTAAGCAGAATTATTTTCCAAAAATTTCGAAATTTTCGAACAATTAGTTTTCGTTCATAAATATTCAAAAGGAAATTATACTGTTTTGCCCGAAATCTAAAACTAAGAACAAAAAAACTCATTTCCTAACTCCTTTTATATAAAACATTATGTAAATACATAAATATGCTTTATAGTTAAGCGAATAATTTTTAGAAAAGGTTTTTACATAAGTATATAAGAAGTGATTTTATTTCATGATTTTATTTATGTGTATTTACACCTGCAAACTCAAACATTTTTTTTTATTATGCATATACATATTGTATACCTGCCTAACATACATTGTTACACAGTCGTTTTCATTTAAATGTGTACATACTTTTGAGCTTTGTTTTACATTATATACATATTTGTGTATTTTCATTTTTATATGCAGATGGTATATACATAATGTTATATGTACATACATACTTATATACGGATTTTATGCAAACTAGAACGCTAAAATGATGGAAGGTTAACGAATTAAAGAAATTAATGAGTCGCATTTTTCACAACACTAAAACACTTAAAAAATGTTGAATTATATTACCTTCTTGTCAGCAAATTATTACCTGGGTGGAAAGTATACTCGAGATAATTTTTTATTTTGTTCTTTTCTTTTTTGTTTTCTTTTATTCTTTGGTTATTGTTTAACTTATTTTTTTTTTTTTCTAACATTTTTCTTTTTTGAAAAGTAAATAAACTTAAGAAACTTTAATTTAAAAATGAGGATAATTTTAATTTATTCGTGTAATTATATAATACAGGTGCCTGTATATTAATATAGTGTTATACAACAAAGTATTGTTTTCGTATTGTATAAGGTTTGCAAAAAATAAAATTTTTTTTTTTTTCATTTGTTTCTTATTTTTTTTTTGTTTTTAATATTTTTTATGTTTTTGTTTAATTTTTTTAATATTATTATTATATTATAATACAAACTGTATAACATTATACTAAACGGGTACCTAAAAGTATGTTATTTTATAATAAATTTAGAGAAACGAGACAGTAGCGGGGAAAAAAGGTAATAATAATTGTTGAGAATTTGTTAATTTGATTAAAAAACTGAGAAGAGCAGCAAAAGAAATAAAAAATAAAAACAAAAAAGAACCGAAAAAAATTAAAATACAAAATGAATGAAAACAAAGGAAAATGAAAGGAATCGACCCGCGAAATTCAGAAACATTTCAGTTTCAGTGTTCTGTTCTCTGTTTCTACTGTATTATTGTATAACTTAATTTTGTTCTCTCAAGGGTATTTAATAAGGTGTGAAAAATTGGTAAAATAAAAAATTAGTCCCATGATGGTATTATTCAAAATGGTTCCCTATGGTAATTGCATTATTCATTAAAATTAAAATTACAAAAAAAAAGGAAAAAATATTTTATTATGTAATTTCTTCAAGCATTTTTCATACAACAATATACAAAATATTCTTTTTTTTTACCTAAAAATATATTTCTTAAAAAAATGTTTTTTTAATGGCTTAAAATAATAAAAAATTCAATCCGAATCAAATACTTTGCATAATATTATACTTTAAATACGCAATTCTTAAAGTGTCACAAGGATATGCCAAATATTAGAGTATTACAGCTCTTTTAATTTTATAGAGTAGCTTGTGAGAGTATTACAGCTCTCTCACATTAATTTTACATAGGAATAATGAAATTTCATAAGGTTTAGTTAATAATTATTTTTTAAATTTTAAATTAGTTTCCTCTTTCTGTTTCGGTATTAAATTTATATGGAAATGAAAATTTATAAAAGACAATATGTAATTCTTGTTCCGTATTAATGTTTTTTCCAAATCAATTTAACAATATAATAATAAAATTTTTCAGAATGATCCCATTATTAAACTATTGCAGTTATTGTGAGATCTTATACAACAAAAACCAAATTTAACTGAAATAATGGCCTAAATAGTGGGGCCTAAAAATATTAAACAATGTTTTTGAAAATTTCTTTACTTCGACACACTTCGGAAAATAGTTTTAGATCGGTGTGCTAATTTGTAGATTGAAAGAAAATGCATGCTGCGCCTTCCTAGTTTGTCATATTAAATATTTCATTTTGGATATAACCATGCACTGCCTTGGTTAACTAAGCAGCTCTTATTTTCCTTTCATTGTTTGTTAAATAATTTATAGGGTTATCAATTACATAATAAATGATGAATATTGTTATTAGAAATTACGTAATAGAAAATTATTATGTATGCATCTACTTATGCAATTTAATTTTCTCAATATTTGAAAAAAAGATATCAAATACAATTATAAGCGGAATTATATGGCTATTATTTTTTAATTGTTACTTCTTTAATAGTGTTGTAGTAAATTTAAAAGAAAATTTTTATAAACTTACGAAATTTCTCCAAATGGTGTAAAAGCATCCTTTAATTGTTGTGTTTCTATTTCCGGACTAAGGTCACCAACGAATATGTGATATTGTTCTGAAATTAAATAAATAAATTTTCTATTTTAAATTAAATTTTAAAATAATGTTATTAAAAAAGAATGTGATTAAAGAATTTTTTTGTATTTTAGTCTCAGATTTCGAACCTAAACGAGAGCAAATTCAAATATTTACTCATGTATTTTTTTTACTTTTAATTTGTATAAAATCTAAAAAAAATTCATTTATTTTGTATTTGAATATTTTCTAAATAATTATCAAAAATTAAAATTTTACTAAGTATTGATTCAATAAAACAACTTTTTTTTCTCTTCAAAGTAAACAGCCCTATCGTTCGTATCCTTGAAATTCGAAAAATTACGAATATTATATTGTCAATTACGGCTTACTAAAATTCTGCTCCGAATCTTCGTAATGGGACAATTATTAATTACGTTCGTAGTAAAAATAACCCTCAGAAGTCTATGAAGCAAATAATCGAATAGAACTTTACAACCAATTTAAAGAAAACAGTCATATTAAATTTTCAAATTCTGAATTTTTTTGTTTGAGTTTGAGTTACTCTAACACAGGTACCATGAAGGGAAATAAATTCATATTTGTAAAATAATTTTTTCCCACTTTTCAAAAATGTTCAAAAACTAAATAAGCTTTGTTTACTGAAAGAGCAACCAAAAAATAGAAATTATTTGATATTTGAAATAAAGTACTAATTTTCACGCTCCGAAAAATTGTAATGTTAGCAGTGATTTATAATCACTATGAAAGAAATTTGTGGTTATTCAAAAGTCTAAGTCGTAACTAAGTCCGTAATTCGTAAATTTCTACCAGAGGAATTCATGATAGGGCTGAACATTTCAAATTGTTCTTTATTTTAATTTTTTAATAACTTTAAGTAGAAATTACAAGTTTTGCGTACGGAATCTTAATTAAATCACAATTCTATTGAAAATTTTGAAATTTTACCCACCTGTATTTCATTCACAGATTTGAAGTGTTTAAATATTTCATTTTCAAAATATTTTACAAATATTTGTCATTAAAATTTTTGGATATTTCTTATTTTATTTAATTATGTGGACTATTTTTTGTTTCCAACCTTTAGTTTTATAATATTCTAAAATATTATATATTTTGTAATTTTTATCAAATTATTTGAATTTAATTAATTTCTAATTTCAATTAATTTTCTAATATTTTAATTAAATATTTGAAAATTTTGAATATGGGTAAATGATTTTTATAATTTTTTTTTTTTGGTCAAATTTAAAATTTCATTTTGTTATGTAAAAAAAAAAATTTTTTTTTTATTGATGAATTTTTAATCAATTTTAAATAATAATTTTTTCATATAAATTAAGTTTTAATTATATTATTGAATTTTTTCATAATAATTTATTTATCAATTGAATGAATTTTCTTTCAATATTTATTTATTTCCTATTTTAAACTACTTTATTGAAGTATTTGTTATATACCTACATATTGTATTGAAATTGCTATGAAAGCAGAATTATATTTGAAATAATTTAGTTTTGGTGCTTATTGGAAAAAAAAATTGTGTTATTTTTCACGAACTGTAAAGTTATTGGTGTTTTATAAAATGGAGTCTTAAATTTTGAGACCAATTTCTCTTTTCATTTGCATTATTGGTTATTATAGTTTTATAAACAGAAATAATTATATTATATTTAACAGTATTTTTAGTCCAAAATAATTAAAGATTTTGACACCTAAGCAGTTAAACTGAAATTTTAGGATCTTGAATAATTTCAAATTCACCTATGCTCACATTAGCCAAATTAAGGTTTTAAATCGAGTATTAATTTTAAGAATTGAGTAAAGATTTGAAATATAAACATGTAGGTTCTCTTCCTTATCGCCTTAAAAGAATTTAAAGCAAGAGTACCTCCATATATAATATCAAAAACTAGATTAAATTAGAAAATTTATAATGTAAAAATTTTGTGTTTTGTCATTTAATATTAGTACAAAAATAAAATCAAGCTGTCTTTCAAGGTGTAATAAAAATTTTAAGCTCAAGGACCAAAAAGAGCTAGAAGACTTCTATTATATAAGATACATCAAAAACAAAAGTTTCATTATGACGTTTAGCACGCGTTACTGTTACGGAAATTAAAACGGATTATGGAAGACAATATATATATATGCATTTTATGAAATTTAGTCCAAAAACCCGATATCAGGAAATTTGTAATTTTTCAGTAAAGCAATTCGAAAATCTTTTGGCCAAAACTTGTTTTTTTTTTTTATAAAATATTTAATATTTCTTCAATTTTGTATTTTGAAAAACTGAAATTTTTTGTTTCGAGCAAATATCGGGCTTTGTCATCAACAACTTTTAATATTTTTATATTTTAAATTAGTTCATCAGGTGTTGAAGATTAACTCAGTAGTATTTTATTTTTATTACTAATTCAAATTGGCAAAAAAGTAGGTTATCGAATTTTGGAAAATTTTCACAGCTTTTTTTTTTCGCGTTAATTTCATACTTCCTTCATTTTGTTTCCGGGCTAGAACAAATTAACAAAAATTTTCCAAGTTCGCAATTTTATTAAAACACCACAAACGTCCTTAAACATAGTACCTAATTCGAACCTTTATAAAAATATAGGTAAGTATTAAAAAAATTTGCATAAACTAAAATATAATTTTAAATAAATAAACGATTTTTCACTCAAATAATTTCTCATTGAAAAAGGAAATTACATACAAAAATGTCATCAAAAGCGTATAATAAAATTAAAATTTAACAAAGCGAACCAAATGAATTCTGTGAAAAATCAGTTAAATAATTTTTATTTTTTTTTAAAAAAGTTTCTTGTTTGTTTTTTTTCCTACTTCTAAATAAATTTAATGAATATAAAATTAAAAGAGCACGCTTAATAAAATACTATAATTTTTAATGTGCAAATATTGATACAAAGAAGAAAAAAATAAAAAAATTCTATTTTAGAAATTTAAAAATGGTTCCGCTAGAAAAACTTTTTTTTTTCTGTAATAAAAAACATGAGTGCTACTTTGATTACACGATTTCATTTTGTTTACCTTATTTTCTAAGCACAAGTTTTTCTAGTTTTTTTACGGTTGTCTAAAGTTCACCGTTTATTTTACAAATTTAATTTTTTTTTCCGTTCGTGAGAAATTTTAAACTTTTTCTTTTATTTATTTATTTTAGTTTTTGGATTGTGCAACTTTCGTTGTTCTTCAAACATAAATTGCAAAAAAAAAAAATTGTATATAAATGTAGAAAATATTATGGTTGGTAGGTTCCCAAATTTTTGTTCGATAATTAACCGAAAAGAGCACAGAAAAAAAAACATAATTAAATTGTGTATGACTAAAAGTTACGCTTATTTTAAAAAAATTTAAAGTTTAGTTAGTTTTTCTGAATTTTTTTTATTGTTGGTGTCCTTAAAAATAAAGTACACTAATAACAAATAAGGGAAATTTAAATATGAACGTCATTCGAAGCTTCTAAACATTTAAAATTGCAGATTATGTTCATTTGTATAAAATTAGCGAGAATAGATAAATGGAAACCTGTTAAAATATATTCCCTTCTCATTTTCAGGTCTCCATGTAAAAGTACATGTTCCTATTTTATGGATGTCTTATTATAATATAACAGCTTCAATCAACTCAAATTCAATTCGATACTATTTAAAGATTGCATTTAAATTTATTATTATTTTCACTTTAAAATTTATTATAGGGTTTGCATTATTTATTATTGCTAAAAATAATTTGTTCTATTATATTAATAACATTTAAAATGTAAGTAACATTAATTTATTTATTAAAGAAGTTTATTCTTTCAAATAAAATATCATTTAAACTTTACATTTTGAGTAAAATAAAAAAAATTTTCAAAACGTTTACACTCAAACTACAAAATTTAAAATTTTAATTCAATATTTTTTAATGGAAAACGTACATATTTTGTTAGAAATTTCGTAAAATATTTTTATTCCATCACTATACCTGCAAATTTGCATTGTTGCCAGATAAATATTTCATATATGCTGTTTAAGTAGGATATAGATTTGAAATAAAATTATTGAAACAATTTGTGTAGTGGAATTAATTTGAAATGCTTTCATTCTAGCAGTAGTGTTATCTGCATATGTTGGCGTTAATAGACAACGCTTTAAAAATTTTAATAATTCATTCAATTTTGAGTGATTATTTAAAAAAAGAAGGTAAAGTGATAAAAATTTTTGACTAGCAAAAGTTATTGCAGAAAAATTGTTAAAAATATTTGCGTCTTTCTTCATGTTGGAAAATTTTCTTTTAATAATTCTTTGCTTTGTTCTTTTGGTAATTGTAATGAATAAAATTTTATTTTTTACAATTGCATGTTGTATGAGATTAAAAAAAATAATTTGCCTGATTTTGAATCTCTCCTATCCAATTACGAGTACAGTCCTTTAAAACCTTCAAAACAATTTCTCATTTTTTTCTTAAAATATCAATAAACGTCTTGAAAAAAGAAAAGTAGAATAACTTGAAAAAATTCTTCTCTCTTGAAAATTCTATTGTGCGAATATACTAATTATGATAACCACTTTCTTCTCAAGCAGTGCGTGAAAATGCAGGAACACAATCAGGCCATAAATACCTACATAATGCAATTTTAAATTTATTATAAAAATTTATCTTTAAAAATAAATAATCCAAATTTAAAATTCCGATTTTATAATTTTTTTTCCAATATTCGTATTGATTCAGAATTAGTTTCATTGAAATGGCAATACTATTTTTATGACAAAAAAAATCATCAATTTTTAAATTTTTTCATTTAACCTAAAACAATTTTAAGAGTATTAAATTCCGTGAAATTTATACATATTTAATTTTTCAATTCTTGAAATTCCATTTATGTAATACTATATAAATTTTAGACTTCTCACTCTAAAGTGCATTAAAGTACCTATTCTACATATTGTTATACAACAAACTACTATGCATACCTAGTATATCAATTCCACTCCTTCCATACTAAAAAATCTA